CCTACCCCAAGTCATTCTTCTTTTTTTTCCTCTGAAAATATCAGTTTTGCTATTCACATTTAGGTTTTTTTTTTTTGAGACGGAGTTTCGCTCTTGTTACCCAGGCTGGAGTGCAATGCCGCGATCTCAGCTCACCGCAACCTCCGCCTCCTGGGTTCAGGCAATTCTCCTGCCTCAGCCTCCCGAGTAGCTGGGATTACAGGCACGCGCCACCATGCCCAACTAATTTTTTGTATTTTTAGTAGAGACGGGGTTTCACCACGTTGACCAGGATGGTCTCGATCTCTCGACCTCGTGATCCACCCGCCTCAGCCTCCAAAAGTGCTGGGATTACAGGCTGGAGCCACCGCGCCCGGCCCCACATTTAGGTTTTTAAGCTACCTGAAACTTGTTTTTGTGTTCAGTATAATTTGGGAGTTCAGTTTAAAAAAAAAAAATTTTTTTTTTGGCAGGAGCACAGAGTCTTGCTCTGTCACCTGGAGTGCAGTGGTGTGATCTCAGCTCACTGCAAACTCCTCCTCCTGGGTTCTAGTGATTCTTATGTCTCAACCATTTAGTAGTTGGGACTACAAGGCATGCACCACCACACCCAGTTAATTTTTATATTTTTGGTAGAGACGTAGTTTTTCCATGTTGGCTAGGATGGTCTGGAACTCCTGAGCACAAGTGATCTGCCCACCTTGGCCTCCCAAAGTTCTGGAATTATAGGCGTGAGCCACTGTGCCCACCCAAACATAGATATTTTATAGTCTGTTTTATAGTCAGTTTTTTCTAGTTCTGAAGTATATAAATCCTCCAGATTATTGGATAGCCTCACTCTTTCTCATGTGATTTGTGTGACTGATCATTTTTATTTATAATATTGTACGCTTTTTAAATTTATAATATTGTGAGCTGCATTTCTCCCCTACTGTGGGATTACTGTGTATTCTCTGGAAAGGCTTTATATTTACCTCTGCTGGTCTCTAATGTTTCAACAGCCTTAAGCTGCTCTTTGTTAATTTTTTGGCTTTGGCTTCCTGAATCACATACGTAACTGAAATTTAGACTCCATTCCCATGCGGATATAGGCTGTTTTATTTTATCTAAGGACAGGGAAATATATAGACAGGAACAGTGGTCCACATAAGCCACAGTCATGTTTTCAGTCTTAGATCTTTAAAGGCCTCTCTCAAGTTTGATAGCTTAGACTAGATTAAAATTATTTAAATTTTAAAATACTTATATTTTAGACAGTTGCTTTCTGTTTTTAAAGTATGTATGAAACCTAGTTTTTAAGACATATTAAAGCTCAAAGATGGTATCATTGGTAGAAACAGAGCTTCTAATAAAATAATGTTCACAGCAGTACATTCCTATAACATTTTCAGAAAATTTCTATAAATAGACTGGGTTTTTAACTGTAGATTAAACTACTGTGACCTTGGTACTAAGATACAAAGATGAGTAGGACCCAATCCTTTCAGTGAGATAAAGGTCTAATTGAAAAGAGAGATGAAGAGGCAGACAAGTGTGGAACTAGCTCATTTGTTTGTTTATTCATTTACTCTTTCATTCATTCAACAAAATTAGTTATCTGATATGTGCTGGGCATTGTTCTAGGTGCTGGGATACAGCAGAAAACAAAACCTGCACAAATGATTTACAACACGGAGCTTACATGTAGTGTGATTTTAGTGATACAAAGAAAGTTCTCTGGAAATTCAAAGAAGGAATATTAACAGTTTTGTATTCCTACCCTCAACTTTGCCTGTTGTCTTCATGTAGACACCTTTTGTTTTATCTTTTTCAGAAAATAAGCCTCAGCTTTTTCTAGGTACTGGAAGGGGTATCATCTGACTGGGTGAGGGATAGCTTTTTAAACAGTCTTTCAGACAAGGTTTCTAGTTTTAGTTCATTTCATTACAGAGGTTCCTGATGCTGACATTCCTGAGACTTTATGTGTTGTTTGGTGTGTATTGAATTGCTTCTTCTTGGTTTTCCTTATTGATAGTTTAGGAATCAAACTTTTAAGAGTCTGCTATGGTAGTTGCCACTCTATTTTCTGGCTTTCAGAATTGTGTTGCTTATTTCCTTTTAAATTTGTTCTTGTGAAATTTCTTTACTGTTACTTTACTGACTTTATGAACTAAAATTGAATACATGTGTTCAGTCTACCATCTTTACCTCAAAGTCTAATTGAATTGTGCTTAATCTTGTTAATCTTTAGTAGGTATAAGAAATATTTTATCTTCTTTCATCATATGTGTGTGTAAATGTATACATGTTTAATTTATCACAAAACATGAAGAAAATAGAATGTTATAAAATGTTGGGTAGGAGGCACAATACTTTTGTTTCTATTTTGTCTTTAGTATACACTTGCATTGTGATCTTTGGGCAAGCTACCTTATCTCCTTGAAATTCAGTTTTATTACTTGAAAAACAGGAATTTTGACTAGGTACAGTGGCTAATGCCTGTAATAGCAACACTTTGGGAGGCTGAGGTGGGCAGATTGCTTGGCTCAGGAGTTCAAGACCAGCCTGGGCAACATGATAAAACCTGGTCACTGCAAAAAATACAGAAAATTAGCCGGCCGTAGTGGCACATGACTGTAGTCCCAGCTACCCAGGAGGCTGAAGTGTGAGGATCACCTGAGCCTGGGAAGTCAAGGCTGCAGTGAGCTGTGATTGTGCCACTGCACTCGAGCCTGGGCAACAGAGTAATACCATGTTTCAAAAAAAAAAAAAAGAAAGAAAGAAAGAAAGCTAGGAATGTTGATGATACCCACCTTATTAGGGTCATTGGTTAAGATCAGTTGATAATTTCAAAGCACTATATAAGCTTTAGGGGTTTTAGCACCATGCCACTTATTCAGAATTAATTGTATTAATAATACAGTGTATCTGAGAATTGAGAAGTAAGTTTAAAAAGTCTGTGAACAATAAAAATAGGTATTATATATTCTGTATGTGAAAATGTATACATTTTGTTAGTAGACCCTCAATCAGACCCAGAATCAATTTTTTATTTCATACCTGGTTTTACCAAGCTTTGATATCTATGAAACTGAATCATAGATCAAATATGATAGAGTCTAAAGTTCAAGCTAGACTTGATAGAGTACAAAGCAAGAAACAGCTTTATTCTTCCTCACCATTGCCCTTTAAAAAGGCTATGTTGACTTTCCTATTTCTTTTACTAGACAATATACTGGTCATATCACATAGCTTTTTATCATTCACTTTCAGATACTAATAGTTTTATTTTTAGGTACCCAAAAGTCTAGTCTAAACTAAATAGAAACTGTAAACTCTTGTTGAATTAAAAATTTCCCCCTCTCTACTAAAAATACAAAAAAAAAATTAGCTGGGCATGGTGGCGCATGCCTGTAATCCCAGCTACTCAGGAGGCTGAGGCAGGAGAATTGCCTGAACCAAGGAGGCGGAGGTTGCAGTGAGCCGAGATCGTGCCATTGCACTCCAGCCTGGGTAACAAGAGTGAAACTCCGTCTCAAAAAAAAAAAAAAAAAAATTTCCCCCTTACCCTGGTTTTGCTCTGATTTGGCTCTAGAACCTATTGAAGCTCAGGAGACATGTTTGCTTCTTCTTTACTCTGCCACTCCCTCCTCTTCTAATCACGAGGCAGCTTTACAGTGGGGTTATGTAAGGGACAGGAAAGGTCTTCTCAACCGGTGCAGTGGTCATTTGTCTTTGATGTTTCTTGGGTGTGGCAGATGTCCCATGTTGGCTTCTAGTTGACTGCTTTAATCTTTGCTTTTTAGCTGGGGACTTTCCATTGTGCCTTTTATTGATTTGGGAGGTATTACTTTAGCTGGCTGCTTATGATTCCACTTTAGCTGGCTGCTTATGATTCCCTTTTAGCTAATTCTGGTAGTGTGTACCCCCAAAAACTCTCTTTAGTGGGGTTATCTGGTCTCACATGCAGATCTCTCTGAGAGGGCCTTTTCAAAATAACCAGCCTACCTGCCTTCCATGGAATCTCCTTCACCCTTGAGGAACATGCAATCTTGTGGAAGTAGAATTTGCTTCTGTTTTAATTCTCTTTACACACTCTAGCCTTTCACCTTTAAACTTTCCAGGCAAATATCAGGCTCTGGTCTTTTTGTTCTCTAAATTGTAAGATACCCGTGTCCAGTTGTTCTCTCTAAAATGTCTCACTTGACTTTGAGGAGGAGAGTTCAATAAAAATCCAGGAAATAAGGTATGGTGGTAAAATTATTTTCTGCTCACAAAAGGAAAATAATCTGATAAATTAAAAATTCAAATGACAGTCTTCCTCCCCTGCAAGTTTAAGCATTGAGTGTACATACAGCTTAATAAAAAGGTGAATTGTAGTCATGCTGATTTGAAATTGACATATTTTGTTTGGTCAGTGGCTGAGTCTACATGTAAATTTCAGAATCCTAACTTGTCATTCTCCTTGAATTATTTTCAAAGTTAGGGTGTATTAGACTAAATATATCCCTCTAAATGTCGTTTTATATTTGCCTCATTTGATTGGTCATTAGAGCAGGATAGTTTACATTAGGAATTTTACCCTCTGTGTATCTGCAGCTGCACCTTTTGTTTTCTTTGGTCATAGCAAATTGGCATCATTAACAGGAGAATCCTATGACTTAAAAGAAAAATGGATTCTCTCACAGTTCTGGAGGCCAGAAGTCTGAAATCATGGTGTCAAGGGGTCACTCCTTCTGGAGGCTCTAAGGGAGGTTCCATTCCATGCCTCTCTCCTGGCTTCTGAGAGTTGTCAGCGATTGTTAGCCTCCCCCGACTGGTAGCAGAGCATTCCAGTCTCTGCCTCCATCTTCACTTGGCAGGTGATATTTAGTTTTTATCCAAAGTATAAACTTTATAAGCATGTGTTAAAGATTATAAATATATAATTGTAGATGGCTAAAGTTTTCAAAAAGCAAAGGCACGAAAATAGTAATATGAAATAAGAAAAAGCAAACTATTTCTTAAAGTATTTGACTCAGAAAATTTTCTTCTTTCTGTAGCTGTTGGAAAAATTAGAGGAAAACCTCTTCCATTACTCTTATTTTTCGAGGCCCTCTTTATCACAAGTCATGCTTTTCGACGTCCTGTTGATGCAGCTCTAACCCTGGAAGGAATCAAATGTGGATTATCAGAAAAACGGTTAGATTTAGTTATCAATTGGGTTACACAGGAAAGGTAAGCAAAGTTAAGCTTTTAACTAAATTTTGACATTTGGTTAATAAAGTTGTTTGTTCTAAAAATATTAATAATTTTCTTACCAATACATTATTTGGACATTTGCTTCAGGTCCCTATTGCAATTAATCAGAAAGTGTTTAGTGGTCGGGTATGGTGGCTCATACCTGTAATCCTAGCACTTTGGGAGGCCGAGGTGGGAGGATCACTTGAGGTCAGGAGTTCAAGATCAACTTGGCCAACATGGTGAAACCCTGTCTCTACTAAAAATACAAAAATTAGCTGGGATGGTGTCACACAGCTATAATCCCAGCTACTCAGGAGGCTGAGGAAGGAGAATCGCTTGGGCCTGGGAGGCGGAGGTTGCAGTGAGCTGAGATCGCACCACTGCACTCCAGCTTGAGTGACAAAGTGAGACTCTGTCTTAAAAAAACAAAAAGTGTTTTCTAAGAATTCATGGAGTAATGAGGCCCAGTCACAATGAGCCCAGATCGAGAGTTGATTCATGATAGTTCTCAAGATGATTCATTATGACTTAATGGTGGATGGAAGTTGAGAAATGAAGATAGAGAATTGGTGGGTATCACACTGCTGGGAGGGAAAAGGCAGGAGCCTAGTTCTAGGCAGGATGTGAGCAGATATAAAGGTAAACCCAGAGATAACATGTAAGCCAGAAGGACATGGACTAAGGTCTCATTACAAGCCCACACAGATGGGCAGGAGGTGGCTTCTTGGAGCTGGGTCTCAGCACTGATTGGCAAGTTTGTTCAGGGTTCTCTTAGGTTCTGTTCCCTAGAACCAAAGCCTGAGACAGGAATTTGGATGCTTATGATTGATAGATGGAGGGCTTCTCAGGCAATACGTAAAAGGGAGTGAGTGAAGCAGAATAGAGAAGGGGAAAGAGCCAACCAAGGATGTGGCCTCAGGAAAACGTCTACTTTTGGCTTAATTTAGAGACTGATGACTCTGGAGCATAAACCATGATACAGAGCTGTTCTGTGAGGCAAGGGGCCTGCCTCTTGTTTCTTTCTGTCATCAGTCCAGGGCTCTGAGCTGCCTGGAGAGGGTGGGAGCACTAGCCAAGAACACTTGCTATAGAAGAGAGGCACCTGTGAGCCACTGACAGTCAACACCCAGAGCTGCAAGGGAAGGGTGCACTGCCTAGTAAGGAGGATTTCAGTAAGGAGGATGCCCTAAAGCAACATCTATCCCAGTCAGCCATTTGTACAACACAGATCTATTTGTCTCTTTCCTTCTCACATTAAGTTCACTCTATCTTGACACAGCTTCTCCAAGATTCCATGGTCATGATTCCTGAGAAAACTCACTGCTAGAGGAAAAAGGCAGAAACCTGCTTTTAGACAGACTGTGAATACATGTAAAGGATAAGTAAGCCTTTTACACAGGAGGGTTAGTGGGATGAACAGTAGCCCCCTATGATAGCTACAGCTGGTCCTAAATCTGCAATTTTTTTTATAACTTTATTGAATTATAATTTACATAGAATAAACTACATATATTTAAAGTGTACAATTTGATGAGGTTTTTTTTCTTTCTTTCTTTCTTTCTTTCTTTTTCCTTTTTTTAGGCAGTCTTGCTCTGTCCCCCAGGCTGGAGTGCAGTGGCTCAATTTCGGCTCATTGCAACTTCTACCTCCTGGGTTCAAGCCATTCTCCTGCCTCAGCCTCCTGAGTATCTGGGACTACAAGTGTGTACCACCATGCCCAGCTAGTTTTTGTATTTTTAATAGAGACAGGGTTTTGCCATGTTGGCCAGGCTGGTCTCAAACTCCTGACCTCAGCTGATCTGCCTGCCTCGGCCTCCAAAAGTGCTGAGATTACAGGCATGAGCCACTGCACCTGGCCTGGATGAGTTTTTCAAAAACCAGCCTTACTGGTATACAATTGACATACAATAAACCACACATATTTAAAGTGTAGGATTTGACAAGTACCTATACTCATAACATCATCACCATAATTAAGATAATAAATGTGTTTCCTGATGTCCTTTTGTAATGCTTCCTCCTCCATCCTGTCTCCTCAGTCCGCTCTACTCTCTATCTCCAGGTAATAACTTTTTCTGCTTTCTGTCACTATAGATTAGTTTGCATTTCTAGAATTTTAAATAAACGAAATCCTATAGTATGTATTCTTTTTTTCTTAGACTGGCTTCTTTCATTCATCTTAATTATTTTGAGATCTTTTTTTTGAGATGGAGTTTCGCTCTTATTGCTTAGGCTGGAGTGCAGTGGTGTGATCCTAGCAAACTACAATCTCCACCTCCTGGGTTCAAGCGATTCTTCTGCCTCAGCCTCCCGAGTAGCTGAGATTGCAGGTTCCCACCACCACACCTGGCTGATTTTTGGTAAAGTCAGGGTTTCACCTTGTTGGCCAGGCTGATCTTGAACTCCTGACCTCAGATGATTTGCCCACCTTGGCGTTGCCAAAGTGTTGGGATTACAGGCATGAGCCACTGCGCCCAGCCTGAGATTTATCCATACTAATTAGTATTCATTGTTTTTCTCCTCTATCACCCATTTTAGATTTTCCCCACTCTTGGACTTCCATTGGTCTTGATAGATTGCCTGGCAGGATCAGCCTGGTTACCATGACTTTATCAAACTGCAGTTGTTGATTTACCCTCTAGCAGTTTTTAGTTGGCATGGAAGTACCCTGAGACATCCCAATAGATAATTTGCCACCTAGAACTGAGAACTGTATCCATTCAGAAAACAGCTACTGGGTCATGCTAAAGCTGGAGCATTTGTCCATGGGACATCAGACTGTGCAATGAGGACTGCCCATCATGAATGGCATTCTGACAGACTCACCAACTCATAAGGTCAGGGAGGCTCTGAGGAATCCATCAAAAATCAGGTACAACCAAGAATGGGCTGGAGCAGACCCAGAGCACATACATAAGCTTCATGAACAGGTGGCCCAGACTATGTCAATTACCATTGACTGGGAGACATTACTGCAACTCATACCTAGGACCTCATGAGGGATGGATTTAACTAAGACCAGCAGACTGAGAAAGAAAAAACCCAAAAACCAAACTTGGTCCACGGATGGTTCAGGTGGAATCCAGGTAATGTCACTTCATTCTTTGAAGTGATAACCTTTAGGATAAAATATACTGTTTTTGGACTGGGTCTCACTCTGTCACTCTGGCTGGAGTACAGTGGCATGATATGGGCTCACTGCAACCTCCTCCTCCCTCCTGGCAAAACCAGTCCTTCCAACTCAGCCACCTGAGTAGCTGGGACCACAGGTGTATGCCACCACACACAGCTATTATTATATTATTATTTTGTATTTTTGGTAGAGATGGGATTTCACCATGTTGCTCAAGCTGGTCCCAAACTCCTGAGCTCAAGAATATTTCTTTTTTCTTTTCAAACAGACCACTTTGTATTAAAAAAGTTTATTTCTTAAACCAGTGACAATTGTAAATACTTGGATCTGGAAAATAAGACTGACCCTGCTCAACATTCATGCCCAGTAGCCTACTTGAGGAATATATCAGTCAGTGTTCTCCAGAGAAACAGAGCTAATAGGAGATATGATATATACCTATATTGATACCTAATTAATATATATATATATGTGTGTGTGTGTGTGTGTGTGTGTGTGTGTGTGTGTGTATCTATCTATCTATCTATACACACACACACAAGTAAGAAATTGGCTCGTGCAATTATGGAGGCTAAGAAATGCCAAGATCTTCAGTCAGAAAGCTCTGGGGATACAGGAGAGCCAATGATGTCATTCCAGTCGGAATGCTAGCAGGCTAGAAACCCAAGAAAAGCTGATGTTTCAGTTTGAGTCTGAAGGCAGGAAAAAACTGATGTGCTAGCTCAAGCAGTCAGGTAGGAGGATTCCCCTTACTCAAGAGAGGGTCAGGCTTTTTATTCTGTTCAGGTCTTCAACTGATTGGATGGGGCCCACCTACTTTGAATAGGGCAATCTACTTTACAGTCTACTGACTTGAAAGTTTGTCTTTTAAAGAGAAACATTTCACAGATGTTCAATGATTGAATAAAGCGTTCCCCTTTCCATTTGAAAGGAAAATGCAAAATAAAAATATGCATCTAGGCTGGAAGCAGCAGCTCACACCTGTAATCCCAGCATTTTGGGAGTCTGAGATGGGCAGATGACTTGAGGTCAGGAGTTCAATACCAGCCTGGCCAACATGGTGAAACCCCATCTCTACTAAAGATACAAAAATCAGCCAGGAGTGGTGGCTCATGGCTGTAGTCTCACCTACTCTGGAAGCAGAGGCAGGAGACTTGCTTGAACCAGGGAGGCGGAGGTTTCAGTGTGTCAAGATCATACCACTGCACTCCAGCCTGGGTGACAGAGCAAGACTCCATCTAAAAAAAAATGTATTTAGTTTCCTATAGAAATCTAATTTTCTTAGCAAATACACAACTACATTCCAAATAACTTTATTTTCATATTGACTGACTGTTATGAGGGTGACCGAAATTGACAAGAGTTATCAACAGACATGGGCAAAGGGAGGAGATGCTTTAAAGTAACATCTGCAGGAAGATGGCTACCATCTAGAGCAGAGAACAAAACAGCAACATTTCAACCAAATGTTTGACTTTCCTGGTCTATGAACTTTTCTTACCAGTTGCACAGCTGCAAAGGGTGAAAATCCTATCAGGTCATCTAAGAAACTAACCTTGGGTTTTCCTATAAGATTTTTCTCCTTGTGGATACTTCTGACTATGTAAGTAGAAAGATAGAACAATCTCTGTGCCTGCTGGCTGTTCATAATTACGGGAAAACCATAAAGCAATTGTAGGAATGATTGTAAGGTAAGTGTATACTCACCCTGGGGATATACATATTTGTATACATATCTATTACAATTGTAAGCTTGGGAACAAGTAAGGACCTTTCACAGCACATTCCTGTGTGAATACCTTGGGGTAGGGCAGAATCAGTCTTCAGTTTTCCCACTAAGAAGAACCACATTTTAGGGCCT